GGGCCAGCTAGTTTAATATAAAAACTAATACGTCCACGAAAATCATGGTTTTGAGTTCCGCACTTGATTATTATTTCTTTTGGAAAATAATCACAAATTAAAATGGAAACAGCTGATTCAAGTCTGTGGTAATAGTTCGGGAATGTACAAAGTTTATGGAAAATATATTCTCCACCAAAACTATAATCGAAGGACCATTTTCTAATGAAACAATAAAAAGGATGTCTACCTTACAAGGGCATACATTCTCAGTAGTTAAACCTAAACCCGTAGCGAAGGATTATATTCTACTGAAACTAAAAATTTTGCATTTACAAGCAGCGTCTCAATACAATAACAAATTTTTAAAGTTAACAGAAATGGACCCTGTAAGGTCCCTAGAAAATTTTATGAAGAACGTCGAAGGACCATTTCCTTTTTGGGATTATTTTAAATTGAAAAGCCTAGTTGGGAAACTGTCTCCATAGTTTTCACTTTTACGAGTGAAAGACTTTGAAGCGAACCCCTAATCGAAGGACCATTTTCTTTTGTGAAAGTAAATTAAAAAGCCCAGTTAGGAGATTGTCTCATGATAACTAGCTTTCAAGGGCGTACTTTGTTCGCAGTGAGACCTAAACATTGACCTGAAACACTTTGAAGCGAACCCCTCGTCGAAGGACCATTTTCTTTTAAGGAAGTAAATTGAAAATCCCATTTAGGAGACTGCTGCAATAATTTGAAGCCATACGGGGTTTTATGTGAAACACTCTCAAGCAAATCCCTAAACGAAGGACCATTTTCCTTTACAGCAAGAAGACTCTGATGACTAATTTTCAAGAGCTTTGTTCATCATCAAATTTAGAAGTTATTTCGTTCCGCTACGTGTCATATGATTTGTTATTTTATATTCTTCTCTTTTCTTCAGCCATTTTTAAATAAAAAAACCATAGCCAAGGGAAGTTAACAAACTTTATTTTTCTTATGGTCTCTGTGTTTTTTTTTTTTTTTTAACAAATTAGTATTTGCCGCAAACCTAAACCAACTGTCATTTTAACAAATTGACAAGAAGTCGTTAACAACTTCAACGCCATATTTCTTAATTTTGTTGCCTCTGCTGTGGTGGTGGTAGTTGTGAATCGAAGGCAAGAAAACTGCCAGCAATGTGTTCGCCAAAGTAACGTCAAATGTCAGCTAATTAAACGCGTAATATAGGCCCACAGAGTATGTGTAAAGCCGAGTATATTTTTGGCCTGGGTGTTGCTGATGTTGCCAATTCAGTGGCTTGGAAAAATGACAGTTTTTTTGTCTCTTGATCGACATTTAATATTTAATTATTTGATATTTAGTGTCATTATTATGACCAAAACATATTTTTCTTTTCGTTTGTAAAACTGTTTCATAAAATGGTCAAAAAGAAGGGGGAATTGGTAGAAGGCAACGGAGGGGCACACAGAAAAGCTGCACCCTATTTCCATTGATTGTTAAGTTTTCATGTTTACTTTTTTGCCTCTTTGCTGACCATATTGATTGGCTGACTAGCCATATTGGCCTGCGTTTTTTTATTTTGCAGTTTACTTTAAAAGGTGTTGCAAATTGTCATACAGTAATCGATAGCGGGTATAAATTTTTGTCACCAATGTTGTGGCTCCTTTCCCGCCTTGCCGTACATCCATAAGTTGTAAGTTGCGGTATTTAGCAATCATTCGACAGCTCTAAAGAAGTCATTTGCTCTGAGAAATATCGATAAGAAACAAGGCTGCCGTTTCAAATCGCCAAGTAGTTTATCAAGTTAACTACTTGGGCAACATATTGAAACATGATAGCTTCGAGAAATGTCTGTCCCAGAAACTGCTTTGGATTGACCGACTCCATATTTCAGTTTGCGTTTTACAATTCTACAAATGTTTCACAATCAAGATTCTTAAAAAAAATAATAATCACGAGAGGATTGTGTTGAATATTAGGCAGACAATAAATCAATACAATTACATTGGGAGGTTGGGATCTTCTTCCTCTGAAATGGAAAGGGGTATCGGTTGTCCTTAATACAGCGATGCTAAGCATGAAAAGAAGAGGGAAAATCTCATAAATACTGTCAAATAGTTATTTATCAGAATAATTTACTGTCGAATAATGTACCTGAATCAAGGATCAGGATTCCTAAAAAAATAATTGAAATTGCAACAGATCGAAGGACCAAATTAATCCTAAAGGTAAAGAACAATTAACAAACGTTGTTTTTGTAACAAAAAACAGTACTAGGATTAAGCCTGACTATTTTGCAACAGCAGGTAAATAAAAATTGTACGGATATGAGCAAATATATTTATATATAAGATTCTATCTTTATATTACAGGAAGGAACATAATTGTTATAGCAAGTCAGGATCTTCTTCTTCGGAAGTCTCTCTATAGATGGGATCGTTAAGTGTTACTTATATATGACAGGGAGGACCATAATTGTTATAGCATGTCAGGATCTTCTTCTTTGGAAAAGGAAGTCTCTCTCTTTGGATGGGATCGTAAAGTGTTACTTGTAAAATAGTTCCACTAACTGGCAATCGAAGCACCATTTTCTACTGAAACACAAAAGTTTGCATTCACATGCAGCGTCTATAAACAGAGCGATATAAAAAAAACCTGCAAAAAGTCACACGCCATAATTTCTACATTCTTTTTTTCAAATTTTATAAAATAAAAGCAAAAATGTGGGAAATAGCATTAAATTTTAGAATAAGTTTAGATTTGTTCGAATTGGTCACCTTTGGCAAGAAATTTGGCCCTCAAACGGCCAATGAAACCGTCAAACGCTGGCCAAATGTTAATCTGAGATATTTTGGCCCATTCCCGGAGAAGCGTTAGCTTGAGGTGATCGACACTTTTGTATGTTTTAGTGCCGACCTTGCTTTCCAAAATACTCCAGGCACAATAGTCCAACGGATTGGTACCGGAGATTTGGGGGCCTTTGTGCGTTGGAAATGAAGCGAGGAATCTCATTTTGTAATCATTCTTGGGTGGCGCGTGCTGAGTACGATGGTGTTGAGTCCTGTTGGAATGTCCAAGGTCTGCGGGAAAAATGTTTGCGTGCCCAAGGCTTTAATACACCCTCCAGAATATTTTCGCGATAATATTCGGCATTTATTCTGATGCCAAGGTCAATTAATACGAAAAATATATGAAAAAACTGCAACCGAATTCAGACTGCTGTCATGTCTAAGTCATTCGTCCGACAGCTGTTCAAATTATTCCAGTGACAGCTCATTATATTGTTTACAAGCGTACAAAAGCATTTTGGTGAGAATTTTCCAGAACAAAAAGTTATTCGTGATGGAATTTAAGAGTGATAGTGAGATTTCTTTATATTTGGCTGGAAGACCACAAGTGCCTATCGTTAAAGCACTCCATCATTTAAATGTGTATAAATCTTTTGTGTCTCCTACCATCGCTCGTTACCGTGATATTGGTAGCGTAGCCCGACGTCAAGAAGGAAGTGGACGGAAGAAAACAGCAACCTCAGCAGAAATGGTTTGAAAAGTAAAGAAGCGACTTGATCGAAACCCGCCTCGCATTGGTCGAAAAATTCTCGTGAGCTTAACATATCGCAATATTCCATTCGGCAAATATTGAAAAAGAAGCTCGAGGTAAAGCCATTGAAATTCCAAAAACTGCAAGAACTTACACCGCAACGGAAAGAAAATAGACCCAAAAGAGCTGAAGAGTTGCCTCGCTTGGCCGAAAAAGTGGTGAACTGCCGATGAGAAAACCAAATTCGTTGTCCCGCGGTTTGTAAACAAACAAAATGATCGTGTTTACTTGCCAAAGAGGTCAGCTGAAAATGTGCACCTTCGGTTGGCCGGCCTCCAGAACTCAAGCGCCGGTCATGGTAATGGTGTGGGCCGCCATAACAACCGACGGTCGCTCTCCGCTCGTATTAATCGACCGTAGCATCGGAATAAATGACGAATATTATCGCGAAAATATTCTGGAGGGTGTATTAAAGCCTTGGGCATGCAAACATTTTGGCCGCAGACCTTTGACATTCCAACAGGACTCAGCACCATCGGACTCAGCAATCGTCGCCCAAGAATGGTTACAAAATGAAGTTCCTCGCTTCATTTCCAGCGCACAATAACCACCAAAATCTCCGGATACCAATCCGTTGGACTATTGAGTCTGGAGAATTTGGAAAGTAAGGTTGGCACTATAAAATACCAAAGTGTGGATCACCTCAAGCAAGTGCTTCGCCGGAAATGGGCCAAAATACCGCAGAACAACATTCGGGCAGTGAGTGACGGCTTCGTTGGCCATTTGAAGGCCATAATTCGTGCCAAAGGTGACCAATTCGAACCAGTCTTAACTTATTCTAAAATTTGATGCTATTTCCGACATTTTTTGCTTTCATTCAATAAAATTAAAAAAAATGTAAAAATTATGGAGTTTGACTTTGTTGCAGATTTATAATCGAAATATTTGAAGCATTCGACTACTTAAAAGATTATCCTCTTTTAAGATATAAAATAGATGCTGTATGTAAATGCAATTTTTTGTTTTGGATTCAGGAAAAATGGTCCTTCGAGCATGACATTGTGACCATTCTCTGTAATTTCAACAACGAAAATGAGGTTTTACCTCGAATCATTTTAAATATGAGTGTCAATTATTCAGTTCGATGGGCTATTCAAGTCAAAGTCGCACAATTGATAATCGGTTACTACGGCTTTCAGAACTTTGAGTACTAAAGGTGGTGTGATCGATTATTACCTATCGCTTCCTGAAATATTTTGCTAGAATTCTGCGTCGTCGATTCTTGACTTTACGATGAAAAAATTGAGAATGCAACTTCACATTGAGCCAAAACTCCTCATGCTATTTGGGAAGTATGACCTCTTAAAAGAATAAATCGGCGATCATTTTAAGCGGAATAAATTTATAACAGACATTTGTTTGATTTTAATTCTCCCAAGTCGTTTAAATTTGCAAAACATAAAACTGAAATACGAAATCACTCCAAAATCACTCACCTTTCCTCCAACTTTCAGCGAGTAGCCCATATCGGGTGGTGTCTGCATTTGCATGGGGCAAACAAAGCCAATATCTCGATGCGGATGAGGGCTATCCATGCCGGCATAATTTTTGCGTGTTGTAACCTTTTTCGATATCCTCGTCGGAGGTGGGGTGGAGGCCGTTGAATTTTCCGCCACACACAGCGCCTCTCCGCCATGTTCGGGAAATTTTGAACATTCCAAATTTTCGGGCCAATTGAAATTATAATTTCTCATTAGGGTCTCACAAACCCGGGCCGATTCACACAATGAACGACACGGCGGTATGGGTTGATCGAGTATTGTGCAAACCGGTACATAAAGCGAGCAAAGGAATAGCTGTAGGTCAGGACTGCAGCCGATTTTGACCAAGGGTACAAATTGTGTCACCTCTAGACCGGCTTCCTCTTGTTTGGTGTGCCCTATTAAATTAGGCATTATTGTCCGATTGTAGGGTATGTTTTTACAAATCGAAATGGTTATGGGTTCACAGCGATTGTGGTGGGGGAAGGCATCATCTCCCGACATAGAAGTGGAGCCCACAACCTCTCCGGAACTGGAGGTGCGATAATAGGGATTACTCGATTCGATGGAGGATGATTGATCGTAGCGATGCACCGCAGAGGTGGGCGATGAATTGAGGCTTAGGAATATCAGGAAGAGGGCCAAAAAATGGCTGGCTGGTGGGGTATTTCGTGGGAATTTGGCCATTTTTGTGTAGTTTTTTAATTTTTTTACCAGGAGCGGCAAGTTATTCCTTTTTTTGGGGGTTCTGTTGTTTTTTTTAAGATTCTTTGATTTTTCAATTATTTATTTTGAAAATTCTTTTTAAATATTTTGACACCTTTTCATTATGAAAATTTTAATTTCCGTTTTGTTAATATTTTTGAATAACTCTGGATTTTGCAGAGTTTGTCAAATTTTTGTGCACTTTTTTTAATTTAAATTTAATTTCTCAATTTAAATAAATTATTATTTTATAAAAATATTATTAATTTTTTACTTCATGGAAATATTATTATTTTCATTATTATTATTTTTTTTTTTTGCAAATATCTTTTATTAATTTATTTATTTTTTGGAAATTATTGTTTCCTTGGTGAAAATATTGAATATTTTATATTTCAATTTTGTTTATTGTTTTTATTTATTTTTGCTTCATTTAAAACTTTCTCTTTCGTCAGATATTTTTTAATTACTTTGGTCAAACTGAAATGAAAATTTAAAAAGAAAAACATAAAATTTATTTATTTTTTTCAGATTTATATGAAATGCTTTAATTCTGGAATTTGAATTTTTTTGGAATTTTTTTATTTCAGTTAAACTGAAATTAATTTTTCTTAATATTTTTTAAATTTATTTTTTTATAAAATTATAATTTTTCCTAAGGCCTTCCAAAAAAATATATTTTTTTTAATTTTGTTGTGTTTCTAAGACTCCTCTGTATATTTTGATTTGTTTCCTTCCTATAACTAGTTTTTTTGCAAAGTTTCTTGAAATTTTTATTTTGATTTATTTGAGTTCAACATAATTTCATTTATTTTTTTATTGCTTTAAAACTTGTTTTGTTATTATATTTTTATTTATTTAATTTTTTTAACTTTCTTTAAATTTTCTCAATTTTTAATTTTGGCATTTTTATTTAGAATATTTTTTATAAAAGCAACAATCATGGGATTAAGCCTAACTATTTTGCAATAACAAAATAACTACGGCATACCGAACAAAAAATGCCAACACTGTTCTATTTTCATTTTTCTGTAAATGTTGATAGGTTTTCTATTTGATTTTTAATTGATTCCTCACATTTTTTAATTAAATATTTTTTATACTTTTATTTTCCAATTTTGGTTTTTAGCTTATTTTTTCTATAATTTTAGCAATTTTTGCACATTTTTTCTTGCATTTTTAAGTGTTGGAAATCTAATTTTCTATTTTTAAATTAATGTTTTCGGGGTATTCTTCCGCCATTATCCGTTGTCAATATTCCTTTTTTAGTAATCCACAGGTCGCAACATTGACTTACACCACAATGAGTTGTATATTTCTCAATTTATCCTCATTAAAACTCTATTTTTTTACTCACACAACACAACACTTTTTGTATTTAATGCTCCTTTAAATTCTTCACTATTTCCTTCAATTTTTTCTTTAATTTCCAATAATTTATTTGATTTCCTTTAATTTTTTCATAACTCTCCATGCCAAGCCGACGGCATTTTGTTTTTATTTTTTGGTAATTCTTTTATCTCCTTTACTTTTTTAATTCTCTTTCACACAGACGCACACATTGACTCTCAACAAAACAAAGCACCGTAATCCATCCATCAACGTAACCAAGCCATGCATTCAACAGCTCGGACAACGACGACAAGCCACGACGATGACGACCACGACTGTTCTCATAGAAAGAATTAAAAGAACAACAACGACCACGACGACGACAAAATAACGACGCGCCGTATTATTACAACGAGAAGGAGTTACAAAAAATTTCATGCGTTTCCTTGCAACCAGACGCTTAAAAAGACCGCTAACAACTGAAGAAGAAGCCACCGATATGATGAAACAAGTTTTGTCTTTCCACGGCTGGCTCTCCCACTGTGTGCGTTGGTGTCTGGTTTGGTAGTGGCATTATCTCTCTCTCAGGCACTCACTCTCATCACTTGTTTTGTTTACATTTTTCATATGGCTGGGGGTATGCTGCTATGCCGTTGCCATTTACTAATGACTGCTTAGTAGTTTACTAAGGTTAAACATGGCTGAATATGGAGTGAATGAGAAAAAGAGAGTGGGAGAGTAACAGAGAGCATGTTATATATGGTATGTTAGTGACGGAGTTGTAGAAGTAACAAGGAATCTGTTATTTTCACATTATTTTATTAATAACAGAGCCATTATATTTGTTAAACGAGGGAGGAAAAGTAAGTCAAGGTGCAAATGACCAGTAACAGAGGAACCAACATTATCTGAAAATTTCGTGTTAAAAAAAGAGGATGTAAACGTTAAAGAGAACGTTTAGAAAGTATATTAAAGAGTATTTTTTGGATTTTACGAGGTAATCAAAAGAATATTTTAACGAATTTTTGACAAGGATTTTTTAACAAATTTTAAGGGATATTTAAAGATCATTCAGGTGTATGTTTTCTAGGATTTTTTGAAAATTGGAAAGGAATTTTTGAGCGACATTTAAAGGTTTTGTTGGAGGAATGGATAATGGATTTTTGAGAGACTTTCAAAGGCCAGCCAACGAGGATTTTTGAGAAATCTTTAAAGAATTTTTTGAGGATATTTAAAGGTCAAAAATTAAGCATTTTTGAAGTATTTTTAGGAAATATTTAGAGACATTTTAAGGGGAAATTTAAAAAACTACAAGGAGAATTTTTCGAAATGATTTTTAGGGAATTCGTAAAGAATTTTTTGGAGACATTTAAAAGCCAAAAGACGAGGATTTTTAAATTGATTTTCAAGAAATGTTTAAAGAATTTTTAAGGGACATTTCAAGACCAAACAGGAAGAATTTTTAAGGGACTGTTAGGAAAAATTTAATTTTTTTAAGGGATAACCATCGAGAACTTATTACAGAATTTTTAAGGGATAATTAAACAAAATTAAGGCAGAAATGAGCTTATTAAGAAAGTTGCTCAAGGGCATTTAAGGGACCTTAGAAATGAATTTTTATTGAAAAAAATCAAGAATATTTAAAGGGTCCTTAAATGTAGCATATTTAAAATCTCCGAGACATTGATTTTAAACAAATTTTCAAACATATTCAAAGGCACTCTGGCACGGATTTTTAAAGAAAATTTCATGCATAGAATTTTTCGCGGATATATAAAAATATTAAAATATTTTTTAGGGATATTTAAAATAATTTTTCTTAATTTTCAAAAAAATATTTTTCTCTATTTTTAAAATCAACGCATGAGGCCCTCAAAATATATTTTTTTTCAATTTCTAAACAAAATCCACGGAGGATCTCTTACTTTTTTTTTCTAAAAAATCTTAAAAAAATACAGGTCGAAGGACTCTAAATATTTTCCTAAAAGTTCTTTAAAAAACCTCGTCGGAGGACATATACATTTTTTTTCTAAAAATTCTTTAAAAATTCCTCGTTGGAGGACCTTTAAATATGTTTTCGAAAAATTCTTTACAAAAATCCTCGTCGGAGGAAATTTAAATTTTTTTTCTAAAATCCTTTAAGAAAATCCCCGTCCGCGTCCGATGATCTCTAACTGTTTTTTAAAGTTCTTTAAATAGTCCACCTCGGAGGACCTCTGAATAGTTTTCTAAAATTCTTTAAATAATCCACGTCGGAGGATTTCAAAATATTTTTCTAAAATTCCTTTCAAAATACCTGTCGCGAGACCTCCAATTTTTTCTGAAATTCTTTAAAAAAAAATCCCCGGCGGAGGACTTCTTATTATTTTTTTAAATTCTTTAAAAAATCCACGTTGAGATATTTTAAATATTTTTTCTAAAATGGCTTAGAAAATCTGTGCCCGAGGATCCTTAAATATTTTCCAAAAGTTCCTTAAAAAATTCCGACGGAGGACATCTAAATATTTTTATAAAATTTCTTAAAAAAGTCCAAGTCTTCAAAATTTTTTCTAAAATTCCTTAAAAATCCACGGCGAGGACCTCTGAAAATATTTCTAAACTTCCTTAATAAAACTACATTTGGCGACTTCTAAATATATTTCTAAAACTTTTAATAAACCGCATCCTCGGATCTCTAAATATTTTTTTTATAAAATTCTTTAAAAAATCCATTTCGGAGGATCTCTAAATTTATCTTAAAATCCCTTAACAAAAATCCCTGTCAGAGGATATCTAAATATTTTTCTAAAATCCTTCAAAAAACTACACTTTGGAGGACTCCGGAATATTTTTCTAAAATTCTATAAAAAAAATCCAAGTTTGAGACTCTCTATTTATACAGCAGAATGGCTTCAAAATTCAAAGGTTGAGAGTCTTCAAATATCTTCTTTAAATTCTTCTTTAAAAAATCCAGGTCTAAAGATTTTTACTATTTTTCTAGAATTCTTTAAAAATCCACTTCCGAGGACCTCAAAATACTTTTCTAAAACTCATAAAAAATCCAAACCAAATTCCCATTATTCGAAATTACTTATTTTAATTTTTGTTATTTATTTATTGTTATTATTTATTTATTTTTATTTTATTCTATTTTTTTTTTTTTTGATCTGGGTAAATATATTTTTTACTCTTGCCCCACTGTGTAGTCTTTCCTCACATTTTCTTATTGTTTTACAGAGAAATGTAAACGGCAAATGGTTTAATATTAGCCTTTCTATTTTTACAGTGTCTCTGTTAATCGATCTAACATTTGCTAACTCTGTTACATTTATGAGGGATGAAACGGTGATAGAAAGGACAACACACCATTAAAACTCCCAAAAATTTATTGACCTTGAATGTGGACAGAGACAAAGCAGACGACTTTATTGTTTTTGCTCGACAAGCCAGAGCAAGAACAACAACAACCACAACAATGCCGACATTAGAAACAGCTGAGTCCAGTGTGAAATTTATGAAGTGCCAGAGACAACATCTCTTTGCCCTTTGAACTGTGAGGCAACCCCCCACCAGCACCGATACACATTTCTAATGGCATCTACAGACAAAATATGATTACAGTTATGCCTCTCATGACATGGCATTGATTTCATGAGAAAAATAAAGTGTTTTCAGGAGAGGGATGTGGGATCCCTTTTGGGAGGTGTTTGTTTATGAAGTAAATGAGAAAGCAATGCGTCCCAATTTAGTTGTTGTTTTTCTCAGTGTGAATATAGCGA